TCTCTCTCTCTCTCTCTCTCTCTCTCTCTCTCTCTCTCTCTCTCTCTCCCTCCTCTCTCACTCTCTCTTTAAAAAAAAATAGAAGAAGCAATGTATGTAAGCCCACCACAGTACTTAAATCGCCTTTAATATAAACCTATGGCAGGGATGCTAAAAATATTATATTTCAAAGCACAATGGATCTCAAACATCAAATAAAACTCTAGCCTTAATGAAACCAAAACAAAAGATTTGACAAGCATTTTCTGTTTACCACAGAGCCTTCTCTCAAAGAAGTAGGAAATCCTATGCTAAATATTTCATAGCATACTCTTGGTGTCAACATTTCCTATCCTTCTATAACAATCACTGGAGTTCCAGATTTCCCCTCACAGTCAGAATTCTATTTTCTTTTATAGACTATGCTCACAAAGCAAAACAAAGAGGAGTTCATGGAAAAGGACTTTTCACTCATATTTTCCTTACTGTCTTTTTTTTCTGGAAACAAATAGAATGCAATTTTCTTCAAAATTGCTTTCAAACCATAGTTTACTACACTTTTCTAATCCCGATATTGGACTGCATCAATCTCTTCTGTGGGAGCCAGTGTTGAGGGTCTTCTGCTGCCAAACAGAGGCCTCACAAGCCATGTGGAATGTGAATAAGCCATGTCATGTCTTGTGAGCTGCATGGCTTACACATTTGCTTTCTAAAGGAGTCAACCTGATGTGGTCTAAAAGGTCCTGTATTATATAAATTCTGATTTTCTTAGAAACTGGTCATCTTTATTCAGCTCAACTAGTGTGCTGATCCTAATGGTCTCTGCATTAATATTAGTGCAACACAAAAGAGAATTGGGCCTCAACCATTATTTTCCACGTGTTTCAATCCAAATATTCATCAGGACTACTTCAGCACTTTTTTGTATAAAAAGCCCCCCCTTCTAATATAGGTTAATATGGTTAGGCATTGGGTGAAGAGGAAGAGCTGGAAGACTATGGTTGGATCTGGTGCAGTGCAACCATTCTGATGTGCTTGGGACTCCCCCAGTTTTACCACTTAGTTCATGTCATAGGAAATCCTTCCATCCTGGCAAATGGGATAGCCAACCATCTGCATGGCCTGGGACCCAGGCCTTTGTTGCTACTTAGCTGGACTTTCATGGCAGCTTTCAGCCTCCCTTACCTTACCTCCCCCCCCCCAACTACAGTGAAAATGCAAATCTGACCTGGTGAAGAACCAAGTTATTGGCAATGGCATTTGCTGCATGCTTGCAGCCATGTTATATAAGCCTTGTGTCATAAGGACACACTTCGGAAATATCATTTTCTGGAAGCCACAAATCAGAGCCATCTTGTATAGTTAACCCAATCTGCTGTCCTGCCTTCTGGATATGTGGACATGCCATGGACTCCCACACATGGCCACTGCATCTACATGTCCCCTTTTCTCTGTCTAGCAACTTCATATTCACTAAATCCTGGCTGTCTTTTGTTGCCTCCCAAGAAACCTTCCTTGTCATAGCAGCAATAATCCTTCCTTCGATACTTGTTTCCTCTCTCCCTGTTGGCTCTGGTACTGGGGTTCATGTAGCACCAGACAGCTAAGAAGATAATTTCTCCCATGATCATTGGCAAAACAACTAATGGCAGAATGGAAAGTACTTTGTGAGATGATTCAATCACAAATTCACTTTTTGTTTATTAAGATAGTGATTTTTCAAACATTTCTTTAAATGAATTTTTTTTTCCAATTTTTCAGTTGTGGACCCCAGTCTCAAATTTAATCAATTGAAATCTTATGGAATAGAGCCCTATGTAAAAGACAGAAGCACTGAGAAGAAATAGAAATTGGAAGTGAGGGTATAGGACATTAGCTATATCTTTTTTATGTTTAACTTAGAGACAATTTACCACTGAGCCATATCCCTAGCCCTTTTTTATTTTTTTATTTTTGTTTTGAGGTAGGGTCTCACTTGGTTGCTTAGGGCCTCAAACTTGGGATCCTCCTATTTAGCCTCTCCAGTCATTGGAATTATATGCGTGTGCCACTGTACCTGGCTGTGAACCGTATCTTAATTAACCTCCCTTAACCTTCATTAAGGTCAGACCTTGCCATCTTCATGGATGCCTAGCACTCTGGGAACACTAGGTGAAAAGGGAGTCCTGGGAATCAAATCATGGTATTTGCAGGTAAATGATGGAGTTGGAGAATATCATGCTAAGTAAAGTAAGCCAATCCACAAAAAACAAAAGCCAAATGTTTTCTTTTGATAATGTTTTTTCTTGATGCTGATCCATAATAGGCATAGGGGGAGCATGGGAGAAATGGAGGAACTTTGGATAGGGCTAAGGGGAGGGAGGGGAAGGGAGGGAGGCCTAGGGGTAGGAAAGATGATGGAATGAGTTGATTATCATTACCCTAGGTACATGTATGAAGACACAAATGGTGTGACTCTACTTTGTGTAAAACCAGAGAAATGAAAAATTGTGCTCCATATGTTTACTATGAATTGGAATGTATTCTGCTGTCACGTATAATAAATTTGAATAAATAAATAAATAAATGGAACTAGGAAAAAGAATAAAAGGAAGGAAAGGGACTCCTGCAGACTGAAGTATCTTTAATTACCTGAGGCCGGGGAGTGAGGGGCTGGACTCTGCTCCAGCCTCAACCAGGGCACTACCATTTGTTAACACAGTTGCCTCAGATGAAGGGCACTGCTGCTTAAAAATATAAAACAAAACCAAAACTGTTTGCAAGTGCTTAGAGCACTGACTGGCACTCTGCTCTGAGTGCCTGAAAGGAACAGGTGGTGATCTATTTTAATGAGTGACAAGTACCTAAAGATTAAAAATAGACCCTGTTGGAAAAAATATAACTCAGACATTGCCAGGACTAGATACCTGTTAGTACACAATATTAACAATGCTGGAGTGGTGGCACCAAATAAATTAGTTATGTCACATCAACTAAGGTGACATTAACCATCATGGTCAGGTGGTTAATCAAATGTCAATTCAGTCCTCGAGGTTTCCCTGTGACAGGTGAGTTCCCAGGAGAAATTAAAACCTCTTTATCTTGCTGACCTTATGTATCTTATAAGAGGGGAACTGAAAGTGGGCTGCCCATAGTCCAGGATGAGAAATGAGTCAGCAAACAAACCCTGCCAGAAGGCACCTCTTCAACTTTCACCTTTGGGCAATTTGATGGAGGGTGGCACCATCCAACACTCCTATCTCCAGTTCCTCTTAGCTAGAAACTAGTGTCATTTCTTTGGGTGTCTTCCTTCCCACCCCTCTTTTGGTGCCCCTTCTCTTGCCAGAGTGGGGAGTCCTTCAGCAGAGAGGACTTGTAAAGTGTCCTACAAGGTGGAAACAATGGTTTGATATAATTGTATAGAAGAGAGCATCAATTTGTGGCTACCAAAAAGAAAAAAAAGCCTGCATCAGTAGGTTCTGAGTCCCACTGTAGAGAAGGGTGTGTCACCCATTGTTAATGGCTATGTACCTGCCACCTCACTTGTCCCATCCTCCACTCAATATGGAAGGTCCAGTCTGAGAGGATATAGCCGTCTAATAAACCCAGGGATATGGGCTGTGATTACTGATAAAAGCTTAATGTGTCTGCTTTCTTCCTTGCTACTTTATGGATTCCAGAAACCATGAAAGATGAGGGTGTAGTAGCAAGGGAAAAGCACATACTTTAGAGACAGATGGACTTGGTTTCCATTCCTAGCTCTCATTTACCCCCCAAATAACCTTAACCAACTGATTCAGCTTCTGAGACACAGCATCATTTCCTTTGTCACCCAGGCCAGCTTGGGGCCTGCTGTCACCTCAAGGTCTTAAAAATTGCTGTAGTTAGTGAAGAATTCCCTATTTGAAGATTTACAGCTTTCCTATGAGCAGCCTCCTTGCTCATTGCAGCAGAAACCTTTGCTAGTCCTGGATTTGAATCTTGGTTGGAATGACTGGACCTGAGCCTGGTTTTTTCCTTTGCAACTTGGGATTAGGGTGCCTAAATGAGTTGTTGAAGATCAGTGACATGTTTATAAAGAAAGAGCACATTGCTTACTTCAGTGTCTCTCCTGTTAAAGATATCTACCATTGAACCATCAGTCTACTAAATCTCCCTATCACCTGCCTCTGTCTTTTTTTTTCTTTTTAGCATAACCATCCAAATGGTAATAAGTCTGAACTCTGTGCTAGGGGTAAGAGAAATGAAGATAAGGTCCTGGATTTTATTTTTCAAAAAGATCATAATAGAAGAATTTTAGCTGGGCACTGTGGCACATGTCCATAATCTCAGTCTCTTGGGAAGCTAATGCAGGAGGATTGCAAGTTCATGGTCAGTTTCAGTTACTTAGCAAGGTCCTAAGCAACTTAGAGAGACCTTGTTAAAAAAAACTGGCAATTGTGGGGCTCAGTGATTAAAGAAACCTTTGATGATCCCTTGCCTCCTTACATCAGAATAGTTGTGACCATGTTTAGCAGGAATTGGAGAGATCTAGAAAGGGAGGTAACTGAATACAATCTTTTTTTTTAAAGAGAGAGTGAGAGAGGAGAGAGAGAGAGAGAGACAATTTTTAATATTTATTTTTTAGTTCTCGGCAGACACAACATCTTTGTTGGTATGTGGTGCTGAGAATCGAACTCGGGCTGCACGCATGCCAGAGGAGCGCGCTGCCGCTTGAGCCACATCCCCAGCCCCTGAATACAATCTTTATTCTTCAGAATTTTTAGATATAGGACACTATGAATATTTTGACAATATAAAAAATAAAATCTTTCTTCATGGGTGAAAATAGCATGCATCAAATTAAAAGATAAACATCCAACTAGGGAAAAATAAGTGCAAATATGTAATCATCAAAGCTGTTTTCTTTACTATACAAAGAGTTTCTTTAGCATCTGAAGATACTTATGACTATCTTAAAAAAAAAAGTCATGAACAGATAATTCACAGAAAAAGAAAGTCCATTCAACCTTTCAAAATGTTAACTTTATACCAATGAAAGAAACCAAGTTTTAAAAAATCAGATATCACTTTGACTTAGCAGATTGGCAAAGATTGATTGCTACATAACATGGGACACTGTGTGCTCATGCCACGAGGGCAATACGCTCGCTGAGCTAGAATTCACAAGGTCTGTCTGCTGTCTGTATGGTCCAGCACTGAACCATGGGGGACTGTCATGCATGGTGTGGATATGGGCACTAGAAGAAGGGTCTGTCTACTGTCATGAAGAGAACACCTTAGAATTTATGGAGTCATTGTGCTGGCTCAGATTCCGGACTCAGAAGTAGTCCTTGGCTGTGATAGTTGGGATCATGCTGTTTGTGGAGGGGTCACAGGGAGTAGAAATGTGGAAGGATGAAGAGAGATGTCTGCTCCAGATGAGCCTGTTGTGAGGAAAGCAAGGGATGACATTTCCTTCTTAGAACAGAATTTTTGACAGTACTTTATATTTGTGGTTTCCTTTAGCCCAACAGAAAATAAGGCAAAACCACATTCCTGATGGAGCTGTGCCCCTGCAGTGAATCCAGCTGGGCTGGCCTTGGAACCAGGGCCAGCCCTGGCTGCTTCGTCCCCGTGGTCACTGATTCAGCGGATCATGTGTGCCCTGGGCCTCAGAGTGCTGATGAGGCAGTTCATCTTTGATTTTCCTTTTCATCCCTCATGACAACTACCACATAGTGTTTCCTAGAATCTGGCTGAGGTCCCACTACCAGGGGAGGCTCAGAACAAGAGTGTCTGGAAAAGTCACCCATGGCCATGAAGGGGGCAAAACCGCCCCAGACGGGTGGTTGCTTTAGTGAGTTGGCAGCTGAAGTGTGTGATGAGGCTGCCTCCAGATGCCAGCAGGGAATGGAAAATTAGTCCTCAGGAGGAATGCTGAAGTCACTGGAGCTGCTTCCAGTGACTTGGACAGATGTCTATAGTCTTCTCTGCCATCATGGGCCGGGGAGACTCTTCAGCATACGTGTGGGGCAGTGTTTTCTGAGAGCCTGGATAGGACATATCTGGGACCTAGTGAGCATTCCTTAAGTTCTTGGCACAGTGCTGGGGGCATAACATCTATTTTTTCCCTTCACAATCCCATGAAGTATGCTATTCCCATTTTAGAGATGAGGCAGCTGAGGCTCAGAGGCTCAGAAACCAGTCTTTGATGAAAAGTGTTTGTGCCAGGATTCTCCATGTAGGTAACATGGGCAGAAGAGCCTGTCTACCAGTGTCATACCTCCTGACAGCAGGTTGTGTACAGGTGAATCCTGAGAAATCTCCAGTACATTTTGTCTGCTCCCAGTTTCCCTTTTGCACTCAGGCTCTGTGGTAGTGTTGTCAGGGAGTTGGCAAGATTTAGCTTTTCTCAGGGCCATAGAGCTGAAGGTGTTGAGGGGACCTGGGCACAGAATGAGCCCTTCATTTCATCTAGCAAGCACATCATTGCACCTTATTTCAGCGGCTGGCTTCCACTGAGAAAGAGGCTAAGTGTTGACAAACATGTCAATTAGTGTTTCCCAGGAAATTACCCTGTATCCTTCCAGAAACAATGCTGTGTGGTAGGGCAGCAGAAGACTCAAGGAGCCATTATGGGTTGAGGAGGCCACTTGCGCGTGAGCCCTCCTTCTTTCCCAGCCCTGGATCTGGGCTCCTCGCCTCTTCAGCATTTTCATTCTGTGCCATACAATGGGCCACTTCCCCGTGGCCGGCTGTATTATTATCCAGAATCTGAATGTTTCCTGTCTGCACTGCTTGTTTCCTGTCGGGAAGGAACTCTGCCTTTCTGGTGCACATGAAGATTTGACCCATTTGTGTCTGTGGGAAGTTTTAGAGACCTATTGTCCCCTTTCTGACTCCTTCACAGCTCTGGGGGTTGAGTGGAGCAGCTGGGTGGCCTAACTCATGTCTTTCACATTCTGGGGTCAGCATCCTCCCACACTCTAATAAGCCTGAGATCCTCTAGGGGCACCTGGTTGGCTTATTTGTTAGGCCACTGAGTTCATAGACAGTTGTTCCATTCTCCTCCATCATGTGACTCTGATTCTGTAGTAAGAGATCGCCATCGTAGCATGCAAACATTTTTAGGCAGTTTTGTATGGTGGTCACAATTTGGCACAGGTCCAGGGCTCAGACCTTCTGGATATTCTGAGGATTTAAAAACAAAATTGAGGCCTGGATGCCTGGCACAGGATTTGCTGGGGTCCATATGCTCCATTAGGACTTGCAAAAATCCCTTAGGAAAGTCAGTCTTGAGGGGTTGAGCACCCTATTGTTGGATGTGAAAATGCCTCATTGTTGATGTGAATTGTAAAAGGAAATTATAAAAGTACTTAAGATTAAGAAGATCAAATCTAACTGTGTGTAGAAAAGAAGTAAAATCCCTTGGCCATGCAGTCACCTATAGATGGCCAGTGTCCATGAAGGGACTTGGGGTTTGAAGTCTTGATTGGTCTCTGTGAGGCAGTTTCACTTTGTCTTCCCCAAACTGAGTGTCCCCTTCTTTGTGTTTAGAACACGGAGAGTTCCTGGCTCTGGATCTTGGAGGGACCAACTTCTGTGTGCTCCGTGTGAGAGTAACGGACAATGAGCTCCAGAATGTTGAGATGGAGAACCAGATCTACGCCATCCCTGAGGACATCATGTGAGGCTGTGGCACTCAAATATGGCCTCTCTCTCAGGGTCTACGAATGCCTTCCTTGAGATGTCCTTTCTGCACCTTCTCCCACTGCTCTCAGATTGGAGACACTATCATGAAAACACTCCTGGACACTAGCACAGCTGTAGGGATCCCTGTCGGCCAGAGCCTGGCTCTTCCTGCCACATTTTATATGCAGCAGGTGCTCAATAATAAAAGGAATGCATGGAGGAGAAATAGAGTAGAATGCTCTTTAGTATTATCACGTCTTTGGCCTAAGGCTTGGGAGAGGTGACAGCCCTCAGAATTCTGTTCCCTGTTCCTTCTACCAAACCAGGCCACTTCTGGGAAAGGAATTCCTGATTATGAGCAGAGCAAGTGAGGAAGGTATTTTTTAGATCCTTTATTTGACTTTGGGAGTGGCCTTGAGGGTAAACCTATTTTCCTTGCTTGAATGCTGGTGTTTGAGAAGGAGCCTGGGTCACTGGGATTGTGGGCATTTTATCTCTGTGGAGGGTGTCACATGACTCCAGCATAAAGTCAGGGAGACACAGAGGGGTGAGTCTCTTCCACTGGCTCCCCATTTACCTGTGCCATGCTGTTGTGTTGAGGAGGTTGGGCCCCTGTGTTCAGGCAATCTGGCTGAGGGATTTGGGGCAAGTGATGATGGCACCTGGCAGAGCATCAGTGTATTCATCTGAAGAGAGGGATGAGAGTATGGAAACTGTGGTGAGGATTAGAGGAGAGGAGGATGCATATTAAGTATTTCACACAACCTGGCCCATAAACTGGCACTCTTAACTATTTTTCTATACTTCTTTGTACTCTGCTCCAGGATGCTGTGGCCATCATGGGGGATGTAGTCATCTTTTCTTCCCATTGCCTCCCTCACCCACTCTGAGCCTTATCCCTCAGATTATAAATACTTGAGAATCAAGTAAATAAGACAAAACCAAAAATCACACCTGAAGTTTGGCTGTGCTTGCAGTTCGCTGAAGATGTGTTGGGTGGATTTTTATGTCATCTGACACATCACATCTTTGTAGCCTATTGCTAACCCTTCACCATGAGGGGTTATAAGACCTCACAGTCCTTATAGAGTCCTCCTCAGGGCCTGGCAAGGGTGTGGGACTCCAGCAGACAAAGTGGAGTATCTCTGCCAATCCAGAAAGAGAATTCATTTCAAACATTTATGATCTGAGTGAAATTTTCCTTGACAAGCTTACCTGGAAATCTCTTAAACCATCTAGTTTCTGTTCTTCATGTATATACATAGGCAAAATGTTTTAGCCCAGATTAATAAACAAAAACCAAAGAGTATGAGACCTACATGGAAATGAAAAACTTTTGGGTTGTTAGAAAGGTTTGGAATCAATGAAAATAAAACTATATAAAAATGGAACAGAAATAAAACTAGGAGAAATTATGGGTGTTGATTTTGCCCTAGGCAAGAGAAATAATATTATATATGTAAAATGACAGAAAGTATTTGAAAAAAATACTGAAAGGAAATCTAAGGGGTTATTTTATTGTTATAAATTAATGGTGCTGTTTTTTTCCTACACCCCTTTTGGGGTATTATGTATGAGTATTTTAAGTAAAGGAAAATAAATGGATTTTTAAAATGCAAATTTAGTTAAAACCAAGACCAATTTACCAAACTCCAAACTTGCAGAGGTTTCTTGAGGAACTCTCAACCTGGGCAGAGTGGGTCCCTGTGTAAGATTCTAGAGGCAATTCTGCTCTTCTATTGGGGAAGTTGATAAGAGAGAAAATATGGGATGTATTAAATAAATTCCCAGTACCTTCTTACTGATACACTAGTCAAAATGATTTTTAGTGCAAAGAGTTTTATCCCCCCAAAAAGGAAGTTGTGTTCTGCCACGTCACTTCCATTTCAAAGCAGTAGGTCATAAACCTGAATAGTAGCCACTTACAATCACTTAAGGTGTATCTTGTGGGAAGGTGAGTGAGTGGATCCTTAGACCAAAAAAGAAAAGAAAAACTTTCAAACTCCTCACAGTGATGCCCTTTGAGCTTTTTTATAGCAGGAAGATGTTAGCTCTTTCTCTCAGCATCTTATCTGTAGGTCCTCTGCTAACAGAAAAGGGGTTAGGCTTCCAGTTCAAGGAAGCAGATGGTCTCCTCTTCTCCACTTTAAAAAAAGGTAGGAGGCTGAGACATAAGGATTGTGAGCTCAAAGTCAGCCTCAGCAAGGTGAGGTGCTTAGTAACTCAGTGGGACCTTGTCTCTAAATAAAATACAAAATAGAGACCAGCATTGGCCAAGGGAACTTTTTGCAGAGGTAGAACTGCTCTCTATCTGGCCTGCATGATTCTGTAGCTGTCAGCCTCTTGAGGCATTAATCACTTGGGAAGTGGGGCTACTGTGATTGGAGAGCTGAATTTTTATTTTTTTATTTTTTATTATTTTCTAATGAATTGAAATAGCCCCAGATGGCCAGTGATTACTTTCTGGGCAGGGCATTAGTTAAAGCATCTTCACTGCCTTTCTTCTCTGCCTTCCCATCTAGAGAGGGAGCTGGTGAGGGGAAGGTGACTTTCTACTTCTCCTATTAAAGGAAAAGATAGTTGTTCTTTTTCACTTCCCCCTCCCCCACTTAGCTTTTCATTTTTGCCACCTGGTTAACCTTGCACTTGGAATGTCTTCAGCCTCTTCCTTATATTTTGTTCCCCAAACCTCTGGCCTCATCCTTTCAGCATCTGGAGGTCACCAACTTCTCTTCGAGGGTGCTGAATGGCCAAGAAGGAAGTCAGGGGGCTTTTTGGGGGGCTGATTGAAAACCTGGCTCATTGTGAATGCACCTTTCTCCAGGGCTGAGGAGCTGTGGGTCCTGCTCAGTGTGATCACAGTTGTGAGAGTGCCCACCAACAAAACCCTATTCTTTTTTGCTCTTCAGAGAGAACTGAGTATTCCGTTTTTGAAAGTAGAAAACAAAGATAACTTCTTTGGATTGCCCCTAGGTGATTAGTTTTCTAGAAAAGAGGAAAAAATAGAAAAAAGTTACTCATTTTTGCTAAGTTGGTTCATAGAATGCCAACACAGAATGTTCCACCACTCCCCCAGTCACAAGAAACAGGGATGCTGAAGTACTACTTGATGGTGAAGTGAACTTTCCTTTCCGGTAAGATAATTGGCTAGGCATTTGTGTCCGGGGGGTCTGCCAGGGCCACCAAAGGATGTCCTATTTGTAGGGCGTGCGAGGACATTCTGATAACTTTGGCCACAATTTACCCCTTCCTCTCAGGGTTATTTTGACAGATGTTTAGATAAATGGTCTAAATGGAGCACAGCTTTTAATGAGTACTAACTAGTATTAAGCCCTTATATGAATTGACTCTTTTAATCATTTGGGGAACTGTTTATGGGCAGTCTAGTTACCATTCCCATTTCTTCGATGAAAAGCAAATGAAGACTCAGAGAGTAAGAGGATCTGGTACAAATTCAACTAATTCCTTTGTGAGCCCAAGGTCTTAATTTCTTTGCCATTCTGCCTGCTCATCTTCCTGTATCATGTGTCCTTAGCTATTTGACCACAGTGCTGAATGCCTGGCCAACTTCATGGATAAGCCCCAAATTAAAGACAAGAAGCTCCCATTGGGCTTTACCTTCTCATTCACCTGCCACCAGAGTAAACTAGATGAAGTAAGATGGGTTCTTCAGAAGACTTGCTGCATTGCTTCACTTCTGGGGCTGGGAGGACTGGGAAGAACGCCGTGGTGGCCATCTGTTACTGTGGTATCGGCAGTAACACTGAGGGATTTTATAGCTAAGGATTCAGTATTTAGAGTTCTGGGCTCCAGGTGACTGTGCGTGTGTGGAGGTGTTGAGGGGTGAAAAAGTATCGGGGAGGTGGGTGCTCTTTGTTACTCTGCATTTCACACCTATTGCACAGTGACCCAATCCCACCCAGGGCGACAGGAATGAAAAGCTAGGAACTCTTTTGATCCTGAGTGTTTTGATGAAAGGTCTTGGAAGAAGGTTGCTTCATGAATTAATGATTCAAGGATATACATATCTTATTTTGGCAAGTCTAAAGTTTGCTCCTTCTATTTCTTAGAGGTAGTAAATCCTGAAGGAATCACTCATTTGATCTCCTTTCCTGAACCTGGGAGGATCCTGAGTTTCTTTTTCCTCCGCTAGTCAGGAGACAGTCTACAAATTCAATCATGACTTTAGCTGGGCATCAGAGAGCTCTACTAATGATGCCTGCCAAAATGTGGCCTGTGTTTAAATTGTAGAAAATCAATATTCATTCCTTAGTTGTTTTGTAGTAGAGTTTCCTGGTCTCATGGACCAAGGGCTTCAAGTCCAGTGGTGTGAAAGGCAAAACGTGGTGGCTCTGATCTGGAAGGCCATCCAGCAGAGAGGGGTGAGTGTGGATTGGTGGGACCTTGGGTGTGCAGGCCCTTTGGGATTCACTCTGAAGTCTGTGCTCAAACTCAGCCTGAGAAGCTTTTGTAGAGCTTAAGGGGAGGTATTCTTCTTCTCTGCTATTACCCAGTAATTTTATATATGATCAGATGCCTTTGGGGTTTTGAGATTAACATGGTGGAAAGTAATCTTAGTCTTGGTGCAAGAAAAAAACCTTCAGTCCTGAAGAAGACTTCATATCATTTCAAGTAAGGAAGTTGGCATAATGGTGACATGACAGTACAATGGGGCCGAGAGTGGACAAGATAAAGTTCTGTCATAGGAGTGGGAGGGAGAGAGAGAAAAAGAAAAAGGGAGAGAGAAGGAAGAAGAGGGGAGGTTAGAGGGAGAAGAAAGAGAAGTAGAAGAAGCCAACAAGATTGACTTTTCTTAGTGCGGTAATGGCTACAAACTAGACCACAGGGCTGGTGTCAGGAAAATGGTTCTCCACAATGAGAACAAGCAGGGTGGGAGTGAGTTGCCCGATTTTCACCTGGGTGTGGATCTAGCTTTCCAGCTCGAACCTTCCTTGGCTCTGAGTTGGGTTAGTAAGCCTGTTGCACTTGAGCTGGGTGTCTTGCTGCTCTTTTTCCATCTTCACATCCTGTATCCATCCCTTATGTGATGGTGAAGGTCATAACCCTCCATTTCATTCCTACAGGACTTTGATATTGACATTGTGGCTGTGGTGAATGACATGATTGGGATCATGATGACTTGTGGTTATGATGACCAGACTGTGAGATTGGTCTCATTGTGGGTGAGTGAGCTCTGGGTATGAGAGCCGGATGTGCAGTGGGCGGAGTGGGCTGAAAAGAAGGGAGTGACCTGTAGACTGGGTTATATTTGAAGATAACAATGTAGTTTCTTTGGAGGGCCAAGCCAAGGCTTGTGGAGCTGGGGGTAGTAGAGTTCTGGATCATATATTGGGTAGTCCAGGAGTTTTCAGAAAGGGATCCTAATATGGAGCAGCCTTGGACAGTAGCGTGATAGGAAGATGCGGGCAGGGGAGGGACGCATAGGGAGGTACTTGAGCAGTTCCTTGCTTTGGTCAGGCACTGGCAGCAATGCCTGCTACATGGAGGAAATGTGCCACATCGACATTGTGGAGGGCGATGAGGGGCGGATGTGTATCAACATGGAGTGGGGGGCCTTTGGGGACGATGGCGTGCTCAATGACATCTGCACGGAGTTTGACCGAGAGATGGACATGGGCTCACTGAACCCTGGGAAGCAACTGTGAGTGGGCCTTTGCGGGGAGGGGTTGGGGGTGTGTGTTGGGAACTGAGGTTGGGGCTGCTCAGGGACAGGGCATTTGTTTTCAGGTCATCTCTATAGTCTTACTTTGTCCCCCAAAGTTTGCCAAGGCACCCACCAATTATGGGAACATTTGGGAATATAAATTGCTGAGAGGGCTCTAAAACCAGCGTGAGTGATAAACCCAATCATCCTTCAACACATTCACTTTGGAAGGCCATATCCTAGTTCTTGAAAGCCCCTTAGTAGCTCTCAACCACTGCACCCCACAAAGGACCAGGCTATATCATATGGCTGCTCACTGCCAACCCACAGAGTCCCAGGGCCTCCTGCTTCAGCTGAAGACTGACTACGGCTTATGGAAAGGCTGGCTTCTCAGAAGCCTTTTTGGGCTCCACCCCTGGTCTGTGGCCCAACCTTAATCTCGAAGAAGATCAGATAAAATGCCCCAGTATTTTGTGACCTGAATCTTCTATACTCCAGCCAGGTCAGAGTTGGTTTTATGTTATTTTCGACTCTTACACAACCTTATTTCATTCTCACGTTTGCCAAATGTCTCTGAAGATGTTGAGACTGGATTTCTACAAGCACTAAACATAGTTACAAAACATTTTGAGCAATGCAGCATCTCTATGGTCTTCTTGGTGTTGGGACTGTTTTGGGAAGTCTTTTCGCACATATCTCGACTTAGAAAGGAAAACTAGCCCTATATATCAGGTCAGTGGTGGGCAGCCTTTTGCTTTACTGGGGAGTCCTTTCTTCCTCAAAGCTTGGTTTCATTAAGTCATAAGCTTTTTTTTTTTTTTTTTTTTTTTTTTTACGTGTTGAAATGTGAGTCCATTTACCTGAACTTAGGAACATACCGGTTGTGTCTGCCATAGGTGGCCAGAGGTTTATGAGCTGAGAAGTCACTCACTCAATGCCTGCCTCCATTAATGAGACATACCCATGTCATTCCAAAGAGCCCTGTACCCTTTGAAGTATCAAAAGACAAAATTCCTCGCCAGGTCTTCACAGCATATTCCTGGTTTATCCATTAAAAAAAAAAAAAGATTGGGAAGTCATCTTTCAAATTGTCAGCTGAGGTAGCCCCAAAATCATGAGCGATGACATCACACTGTAGAGACCCGCTTGCCCTGGGGGTGTTTCCCTTAGCTCCTATACAACTAGTTTCACATGTGAAGATGTGGAATCCTCACTGTTGAAGCCAGGTTACTCCCAAGGCGGGTGCTCATGTTGGTGCTTTGACATTTTCAATGTGCCTTCTGCTCGGAACAAATGCTGCCACCTGTCCCTTAGCTCCAATGCTTTCCGACTTGGCCTAAGTTGTCTCTTTGTAGGTAATTTCCAACTCCCTTCCACACCCCTGCTCTGGGCCTCCTTGTCACTGAAGCCAGTCCTAGACAGTACCAGTAGTCCTAGGAGCCTCCTCTCTCTAAGACCCAGAGGCTTTCTGAGAGACCAATGGGTCTTCTTTGCCCAAAAGAGATTGAGTTTCCTCTGCCACATAGTCGTCGCTGGAAAGACTTCTAAAGAAAACAGTGTCACCTAGTGCTGCAAAATTAAATTACCAAACTGCCTCAGGTTGGGAGCTGATCTCTGCCTTTCTAAAACATGTTTCTTCTATCACCAGCCTGCTCCGAAACTTCCATTGTGTTTACCCCCAGACTCTTTGAGAGCTGTTCTAATTTGGTCTTGTAATCTTGCCTCACTATCTTCCTGCCCCAACTTGTCCCCTCACCCCACCATTTTCTCAGGAATCCACAAATTGCCTTAAAGAGGCTTGTGCCTATGTTTAATCAGGTTGAATTTTTTTTCCTCTTGAAAAAAAAAATTGGGACTCTACGTGAGATTCTATTTCAAAGAAGCTTTTTTTTTTTTGAGAGAAGAAATTTTAAAAAACATTCTCCTACACAAAATTAAATTACCTAAAATTCAGTCTGTCCAGAATGTTCTATACACTTGGTTGTTTCATCTGTTTAAGTCCTGTTTTTTCCCATTGTTCAAGACTCACCAGCCTGAGGGTCAGTCCTAATCCCGCAGTTCCTGCAGCCCCCCAGCTGTCAGGTCGACACACACCTGAATAAGTTAATCCTTAATCATACTGTCCTCTAAAGCATGCTGAATCTCACATATTTGTGTCTTGCCTCCCTAGGAAAGTTGTGCATTCATGGACGGTGGGGGGGTATTATTGCTTTGGTCTGTATTTCCCTGCAGGTTTGAGAAGATGATCAGTGGGATGTACATGGGGGAGCTGGTAAGGCTCATCCTAGTGAAGATGGCCAAGGAAGAGCTGCTGTTCCAGGGGAAGCTCAGCCCAGAACTGCTCACCACAGGCAGCTTTGAAACCAAAGATGTCTCAGATATTGAAGAGTAAGTTTCTGGTCCCAATGCCTCTCCCCATAACCGAGTGTCTGGTTATGGGGAGAGGCATTTGGAGAACATGGATGAGGAATTGGCTTTTGACTCTTTGAGCAGGAGGTCCACATGATTGCCTTTTTTTTTGGGGGGGGGTGATACTGGGGATTGAACTCAGGGGTGCTTAACCACTGAGCCACATCCCTAGTTCTTTTTAAAATATTTTGTTTAGAGATAAGGTCTCGCTGAGTTGCTTAGAGCCTCACTAAGTTGCTCAGGCTGGGTTTGAAATCATGATCCTTCTGCCTCAGGCTCTCAAGCTGCTGGGATTATAGGCATGTGCCATGTTACCTGGCCACAATAGGGTCTTGAAGGTTACCCATGGTGGGCCTGTGAATTCACTCTACTTACTTGTCTGTGCTCCTGTGGATTTTGAGGTTGATGCTAATGAAGTGACTCAGGGTTCTAGAAACAGTTGGCCTGCGCATGCAGGGACTTGGGCTGTTGCCCTGGGTTAAATCCTAGAGGCATTAACGGGGGCACCTTAACACTTGTTTGCATCTATCTCCTTGTTCTTCTCCTGAATTTCTGACATGTCCTTTCTTATCAGCAGTTCTCAAAAGGGACTACCCTGAGCCCTACTTCAAAACAGAAAAATAGGTGCTTGGATGCCCACAGATATATTTACCCACTCATAGTCCAGCCCGGGGGTGGGAGTGAGGATGGCCCATAGTATCCTGATAGCTGGGGCTAGTTTTCCATTATTGCTATTTCCTCATGTGAATAGAGGGGGTCCTATTAGTTGAGGAACCAGGTAGAGAGAGGAGGTGATTTCAGTGCCAAAAGAAGCAGTGAAAGCATTCCAAGGACTTTGTTCTGAGTGGAACCTTTAAACAGTGGCTAAACTTGCTACACCCCAAGGGGATGATAGTACTCAATATAGTGAGGCATTTGGCTCCCCTGAGAAGGGCACTTATGGTGTCAAATCACCTACCTTTTCCCACCATCTTCAGACACAGACAAACTCTGGCTGCTTTAGAAAGAACAGATGGGCAGCACAGCTGGCACATGTTTAGAGGTGACTGTTTATAGAGGCAGAGATTCTGTCTGTTTACCCTAAGACAAGTAAATGGCAAATGCAAAGAGTGCAGAAGGTCCATGAACCAGGTCTTATCTTCATATTAGCACACAGAAAAGAAATACTGGTTTTACTCACTGGGGGAAAAATGAGCCAGGTTAGCACTGTATGTGAGTGTGTGAGTGAGTGAGAGAGAGAGAGAGAGAGAGAGAGAGAGAGAGAGAGAGAGAGTGTGTGTGTGTGTTTGTGATGTCTGGAAAAGATACCTCAAGGTGGCGATGTTGCATTGTATTCTCTCCTTGTTGTCCCCGCCCTGCTCACAAACAGGTAGCAAGGTCATAAGAGAAATTGTGTTCTCACTGATAGATGGGGTTTGCTGGAGCTGATGGGCTTCCTTGCCAACCCACACCCTCCTCCTGTTGGCCACAGTGGGT